CAACTCAAACCACGGATCTTTGACCTTCAAGGACCCATCCATCCCATTCCGTGGTTCTACGACCTTCAAGGACCTTCCCAGCCCATCATTCCTCGGCCTTCAAGATCCTTCCAATCCAACCCAACCCTTCCTACGCCCTTCAAGGACCTTTTTATTCCTCTTCCATGGCTCTTTCACCTCCAAGGACCCTTTCAAGCCAACCCAACCCTTCCTCCAACCTTCAAGGACTCTTCCAAGCCAACCCAACCCATCCTATGACCTTCAAGGACCCTCCCAACCCACCCCCCCCTATAATTCCATGGCTCTGCAACCTTCAAGGACCTTTCCAACTCAACCCAACCCACCCTATGACCTTCAAGGACCCTTCCAAGACAACTGGAGTGACACGAGCCGATTTGGGGCGATGACTTGGGATAAATTCGGGCTGATTTGGGGTCACTCCATTTCGGTGGACGCCGAGGACCCCCCCCTTACTCCCTCCCCCCACTTTCTCACCTCCAGGTCCTGGCAGCTGCTCAACAGAAGGCAGTTCAAGCGTGACTTCAGGTACACCTGCATTGGGGAGTGAGGGGAGAGGGGGCAATGGAGATTGGGGGGGGGGGAATTTTGGGGTCCCTCTGCCCATTTTTGGGGTCTTTCTGGGGTCCCCATGCCACTCTTAGGGTCCCCCTGCTCATTTTGGGGTCTCTCTGCCCACTTCTGGGGTCTTTGTGGGGTCCCCATTCCGATTTTGGGCTCCCTGTGCTCATTTTGGGGTTACTCTGCCCATTTTTGGGGTCTTTGTGGGGTCCCCAGGCTCATTTTGGGGTCACTCCCCACATTTTTGGGGTCATTTCCGCCAGTACAACTGAGGACCCCGCGCCCATTTTTGGGACCAATTGTGCCAACATTGGGGTCTCCGATCCTTTTTTTTGGGGGGCGGGGGGGGCGCAGACCCCCATAATTTTGGGGGGGGGTCCCACCTTGTGCAGCAGCCGTTTGTCGTGGAGGCTGTGGAGGCGCAGGAAGCGATCGAGGCCGCAGGAGGCGACGAGGGGCAGCGAGGGGTGACACTGCAGCCCCCGCACGCTGCCCCCCACCCCCTTCAGGCACTTCAGCAGCCGCCCTGGGGGGGGGAAATGGATCCACCGTGCCATTCTGTGATCTTCCAGGACCTTTCCAACCCAATCCGACCCATTCTGTGATCTTCCAGGACCTTCCCAACTCAATTCCACCCATTCTGTCACCTTCTAGGACTTTGCAAACCCATTCTGACCCATTCTGTGACCTTCCAGGACCTTCCCAACCAGGTTCGATCCATTCTGTGACCTCCCAGGACTTTTCCAACCCAATCTGACCCATTCTGTGACCTTCCAGGACCTTCTCAACCCGGTTCAACCCATTCTTTAACCTTCCAGGACCTTCCCAACCCTGTTCAACCCATCCTATGACCTTCCAGGACCTTCCCAACCCGATTTCGACCCATTCTGTGACCTTCCAGAACTTTGCTCACCCATTTTGACCCATTCTTTGACCTTCCAGGACCTTTCTAACCCATTTTCACCCACCCTGTGACCTTCCAGGACCTCCCCCCCCCCGCTGCCCTTCC